AGAGCAAACGTTTTAAAAACCACCAATTTGCCGCTAGCGATCTGGCTAGTAACGAGTACGGCTCTGGTCAGAGAACTTCTTCCTGTTTCTAGAGGCCCCGCCTACCTTGACTAACGTCACTTTAACGGTTTGTCTGAATTAGCGTTTTAGATTTGCTGTGGAAGTAGCTTATCTTCATCTTCTATGATCTGTTGAGATGAACTTTACTATCGACAGCTCTCACTCACTCAGGCACACGTGTTAGTGCAGGTGAAGGGCCTCCACGGTGTGTTAACAGCCAGACTAACTGGTTTCACTGGGAGCTCCCAGTGCCTTTGGGTCTTACCGCGTTTGGAGGATTTACTGGACAAAGAGGCTGAGAGCCATCTGAGAGCAGAGGACAGGGTCAGAACCACCAACGCAACCGGGTTCCTGCCTAAGCTACAGTGCTACTGTAGAACTTGTTAGGATCAGCATCTCAGGACCAGCTCAGAGCTTCTCAGGTGAGTTTTTGTGGAAATGTTGGGAACGACCTCAGTTTGGAGATACTTTGTGTTCGTGTGACAGGGAGCTGGGTTCTGGATAGAAATTGGCTCTCTAGTTATTGTGGTTCCAGTTTCTTTAAAACTCTTGATGTGGGTCAGAAAGCATTTTAGGAACCACCGATCTAAAGACCAGGAAGCTTTCAACAGTTGTAGTCTGTGAGCCGGGTCTAGAGGACTATTGTCACCTTTAAACTAGAGATGTACCAAAGCATCAGCTGGTCTGAGGCTCAGAAATCTGCTTAATCGCTGCTTAAAACAACTCCGATGTCGTGAAAGTTCGTTACGTAAACTTAAATTCCTCATTTTTACATGAAGAACAGCAGCAGGTTGATCAACCATTGGCCCAAATTTTTTAGGTCTGGCCAACCACAAGTCTCGATGTCCGTAGAGGGATGTTGGACGGGCTTAAACGCACCACGGCAGAGCAAAACAACAATAGTGTCGGCTCAAGAACGGCTTTGACATCAACGATTTAAACTTGGTCTTTTGAGACACAAGCAGCTAGACAGCTCTTCCTCTTCTGCCACGGTGCATGGTGGACGGCCCCCATTGATGGATTTCTGTAGCTATGAATCTTAGGGCTGGGGGTAAACGATTATTTTTAAAACGATTATTCTGAAGATTATTTTATCGAATAGTCTAATGACTATTTAGACAATTAATCTAATGATTATTTTTCTATTGCACAGTTAATAAAAACCAAAAATTCTCAAATAAATTCCTCAAAAAAATTGATAAATGGTTACTGTAAGAGAATAAACACTACAGGCCTTCCATTTTGTATAACACTGCTTTTATTGTGTTGCGGTTGGTTATGTTCTGGTGATGTGTAGAACTTGGGAGTGCAGGCTGCTGCCTGAGAGGTGGTAGAAGACGGAGTGTCTCCATGCTGCTTTGTTTTGGTCACTTATGTGCGTGAGGCGAGTGGTGTTACGACCCTTCCTGGGGAGTTTGGCTCGTGTGCAAAAAGGAAGGGACAATAACGTGGGATTTAAAAGTTAAAATGATGATCAGGCTTATTTACAACTACAAAAAATCATAAATCTTTCCATCCACAGGTTGGGAATAATAAAACTAATTCTGCCTGTGGGGAATTAAATCAAAAGTACAAATAAGTAGGGATGTCCCACTGGGCAAAGATTACAGGGTTCTGGACCAAAATAAGGATTTCCAAAGGTCCAAACTCTAAACTGGGCGGTTAAACCAAACTCAAGGTGATATTTTACACTAAACCGAAAACCCAAAACACTTTAAATGTAATAAAAGGGAGATCTGCACCACAAAAAAGATGAACTCTAAACCAAAACGTAACAGCTTATCCAAACGTAAGAAGCTGTTAGCGGAAATGCTAACAGTAGCTTTACCAACGTTAAGTTCAAGTTACCAAGTTTAAATAAACCAAAAACACACAGCAGCAAACAGACCAGCACGGAGGAGAGACTGCTACCACCAAAACAGCTCTCCTAATGTCTGAAAGAAGCTCCTTAATGAAGGGAGAAACGCTCCCGCTGATGTTCTACATCTGCGATAGAGACGGAGCAGCGCATCTGACCCCGGAAGTTGTTGTCCGTTGCCGGGAGACGAAGGCGGGCAAAACAGGAAAGGAATCTAGTAGTGGACGGACGTTGTTCCGGGTCTTCGGTATTTGGTGGAGATGTTAGTGAAGGTGGAGAAGAGGGCGAACTAGAGGAAAAACAGGCAGATTCCTCCTCTATTACAAACTCCTGGGGGTGCAAAGTGGGCGCGGTGCGTCGACTACCAGATCTGACGTCAACGTATTTTTAGAATCGAGCCGTCGACGTCATCGAGGCTTCGCTACAGCCCTAATGAATACGTCCTGTTCACTGAACGCAGAGACAGTTTTGAAAGAACCGTAGATTCTGCACAACAAGCTCTGGGCCGTAACCAGACTATATGCTAGGATGGCTTTGTTTCACAGTGATTAACCGTTAGCTCGCTCGTCTCCAAACTGAGGTCAAAGAACGACCTACAATCCCTACGATAAAAAATGTTCTCAACTTTTCCACAAAATCCCACGTAAGATATAAAGTCTCCCATTCGGATGCTGTGAGATCTGCTTACTGGATGGGATGGTTTAGGATGCTGCTTTCAAGCCACAAATGAAAACTCAGCAGTCGTGTCTTTATAATCTTCACCACAAATGAACATTTGTGTAAAAACAAACAGAGCAGACAGAAATATGCTGTTTGCTTTAGACAGATCCCGAGATCCAGTTGCTGTGAGGAAGGAAAGGGAAAGACTCGGAGACAGGTTGAAGGCTTCAACCATTCACTGAGTCTCACGGAAAAGGTCACCAGGGGTCGGACATGCAGATCCTGTCTGAGTGGACTGAACACCATGGGTGTGTTTGCTGTCATGCATCCCATGTTGAACACCGGTGGCGTGAGCTCCAGAACCATGAAACACACGCAGATTCCTGACTGACTGGAGCGGGTCGGTTAGCCCAGAACCAGCTGGTCGAGCTGCGTGTGTTTGGGTTAATCAGCATGCAGGTGATCCGTTTCAGACAGAAGCTGTGGATGAGGAGAGGCGGGGTGGAGAGGCATGGAGGAAGCAGGGTGGGGGTGACAGAAGCCTGATAACCGTTCCCTTCTGTGGCAGACTGGAATGATGGGGCTGTAGTTGCTCTGCTTCACCACCAGAGGGGACCATTATCAAGTACTTAACCACAGACAGACAACAGGAGCCACACTAACAAACAAACTAAACAAAGACAACTCTTCTTTTCTTCCAGATCTGGTGAATTCCTCCATCTTTACGCGTGCAGTTGTTAAATATGCTGTGTGTGCACGGTGAATTACAGCAGCAGAGTGCCCGTCAGCATCCCCGTGGACACCCGCGCTACGTGTTGGTGTGCACGCTGTGATATGTTGGCAGGGACATGCACGTGGAGATGCCATGTGCTGAAAGCAGTGTGCCGAGCCGATCCGAGCTGAGGAGGGTTAGGAGAAGGAAGGGTGATGGGAAACTTACCAGATATCTGCGGCTGGATTCCCGGTTGGTCGTTGGAGCCGAGCAGCTGGGCCTGGATGGTCTCCACCACACGCTTGAAACGCCGACTTGGACCTGAAGCAGGAGCAGAAAAACCTTAATATGCAGCAGAAACTACCAAAAAATTGTGTTAGACGTTTACATCCGGTGTCTCGCTGGGCTGACGAGGAGCAGAACAAAATACTTGAGATGGAAACTAAATGGCAGTGTGTGTGTGTGTGTGTACGTACGTGCATGTTTGTGTGCGTGTATGTGATTGCGCACGTGCATGAATGTTTGTGAGTGCGTGTGTGTGCGTGTGTGTGTGCGTACGTGCATGCATGTTTGTGTGCGTGTATGTGAGTGCGCACGTGCATGCATGTTTGTGTGTGCGTGTGTGTGCGTACGTGCATGCATGTTTGTGTGCGTGTATGTGAGTGCGCACGTGCATGCATGTTTGTGTGTGCGTGTGTGTGCGCACGTGCATGCATGTTTGTGTGTGCGTGTGTGTGCGTACGTGCATGCATGTTTGTGTGCGTGTATGTGAGTGCGCACGTGCATGCATGTTTGTGTGTGCGTGTGTGTGTGTGTGCATGCGTGCGTGCGTGTGTGTGTGTGCGTGCCTGCCTGTGTATGTTTGTGTGCGTGTGTGTGTACGTGCATGCATGTTTGTGTATGTGTGTGCGTGCGTGTATGTTTGTGTATGTGTATGTGTGCGTGCGTATGTGTGTGCGTGCCTGCCTGTGTATGTTTGTGTGTGTGTGTGTGTGTGTGTGTGTGTGTGTGTGTACGTGCATGCATGTTTGTGTATGTGCGTGCGTGTGCGTGCGCGTGTGTGTGCGTACGTGCATGCATGTTTGTGTGTGTGCGTGTGTGTATGTGTGTGTGCGTGTATGTGTATGTGTGCGTGTGCGCGGTGGCTCCTGTTGGGACGTTTGCTGAAGGTGGAGATAAAATATTCACCATGCGGTCGTGTTGGCTCAGTTGGGGCTTCGTGTTTCAAATCAAATCAACTTTATTTATAAAGCGCTTTCATGTGTCCAAAAGGACAAACAAAGCTCTGTACACCAATAAAAACACAAAACCATTAAAATACATAAAAAAATTCCCAAGTACTGATTTAACATTCCAGAGCAGTCTTGTTACCAGAATCGGATTAGATCATCTACAAAACCACCCACCTAATCCCGACCTGAACGTCCAAACGCCAGCGAGACCAGAAGTTTTTAGTCCAGTTTGTTTATTTATACTTAATGTTGACGTTAATTTTACTAAACAGGCTTTAACGAGCAGCAGATTATTATCAGAACCAGAAAATTTACAGAGTCTCATTTACAGTTTTCCCAACTGTGGAACAATACAGCATCCCCACTGGAATTCCAGAGCGTTTCCAAATGAAAGCTAAACTCATAAATAATCCTTTACCAGGAGCAGAAGAAGCATCAAGTCCTAAATTCTACAGATTAATTCATCAGGTGGGAAAATGGACCAGACTATCGTCATCGACATAATTCCTGAAAGGGGAAGCTGTCCGAATCTTCATGAGTCACATGACCTGCAGTGTTGTTGTATGCTTTTAAGTGCTTTCATTGTGTGTGTGTGTACCTGAGAGCAGGGTGAAGGTGACGGAGTAGATGCCGTTCTCCTTGGTGGCGCTGGTGCTCTCCGTGTAGGTGATGTCCACCTGGAACTTGACCGGCTTCTGGAAAACCGTCGGACCGGCCGTGGACTTGTATTCCGCCCGGAAACTGGTCTGAGAGATGACGCTGTGGCTCAGGCTGGGGATCTGGAAGAATGGAGTATTATGGTCTGTAGACACATCAGGCTGCTTCATGTTCAGATCCGACATTTAAGGACATTTTATTAACAAACAGAAGGTTATCTGAAATGTTTCTACGGAAACTCAGAAGGGCCAAACTTCATTCTGCCTGTAAATAAATCACACACATCTAAATAGGTCAAATGTGTTGTGTTCTTTAATTCTGGGGAAAAACTGACTTGTTTTTATATTTAGTCAGAATTGAGTTAATTTTGGTTCTGAGATTTTTTGGTTTTAGTTAATTTCATTTTCATGTTTTGACCTTTTATTTATTTTGTAGCTCGTTTGATTCTGTTAAACAGTAAATAAAGAAAAAGTCTGTTTTAAGTTTTGTTTTGAGCTGAAGAGGGAAAATGAGAATCTCAGCAGCGTGAACTCAAGGAACGTGATTTAAGATCATCTCTGATCTTTTTAGCATTTTGCTTATAAAATAGTTTTTATGGAAGACCTGATTGGACAGTTACCACAGACATTAGTTACAGTTACACGAGTCACAGCGCGATGTTCTCGACTCGACGGGTTCTCTAACGTGAAGGGAACCTGCCACGGACCATGAGGGGAGATTTTGTCATTCGCTGTATTTGATTGGCTATTTGAGGCATCAGTCACCAACATATCACACTGCAACGTGACAACTGAGCGGTTTTCCCTCCAAACTGTAATGAAATGAGTTGAGTTTGAAGAGACTTACGGAGAGGAAGGCGTGGACGATGTCGGCCTTTATCGAGCTGAGAGGTTTGTCTCTGATCACGATGAAGATTTGCTCCTCCTTCTCCAGGCTGATGAAGTTCCCAAACCACGACTTCTTAGCCAGTCTAGAGAGAGGAAACACAAACCACTAATCAGATGGGAAAAGCGGGAAAATGCTGTCCAGAGTTCACATTTTAAGACTAAAGTCACACATTTATGTCAACAGGTGGCAAGGTTGGGCGGTTTAGTGGTGACTTAAACCTCAGAGTGTAAATTATGAGACTGTAAAAGGTCTCGGTGTCAGGCTGGTTAAGCAACATTCAAACCTAATCTAGTTGATGGGTCAGTCACATGACTAACATGGGAAGTCAGTGGAAATAAAATGATTTATTCAGGAGTGACAAGTCTTGAAACTAGAACCGTCGTTGTAACCGTGAGGGTCGAGGGGGTTCTTAATGAAAGGCCAGTGTGTTTTTCCCTCGTTCTGCCATCTTTAGTTTATTTTTAAAAGTCACAGGCGACATGCACGTCACTCCGAGGGCACGACTAACGGTTAAAAACAGCCGATTTAAAACTTCAACCGAACATGATTTATTTCTTCATCCACGAGGAGATGTGGGGGTTGAGGCGGTACTTACTCTGGAGAAGAGTCTGGAGTCAGGCTGGACATGTCCTCCTGGGTGGGAACTGTGGACTCAGAAAAGGTCAAAGGTCAATCGTTTACGTTTCTCTGGGTGTGATAAAAACAGCTCGTCAGTCCAAACTTTTCCTCTCGGAGTAACGAGGCGTTTTTCTGCTGATGAGATCAGCTGCAGGTGGAGCTGATCGTCGATTAGCAGCTCAGAGAGGATTAACGCTTTGAGCTGCAGTCGGACGCAGTAACACGCAGCTACGTGGATTATCACGCTGATAAAAACCAGATGGTATCAGGAGTTTGGTACCTTGCATTTTCCTGCGATGGAAGCGCGGTGATCCCAGGAAGCTGTTCTTGATGGAGTTGAGGCGCGTTCTCCAGGGCATCCCGCCGATGGAGGGGCTCGGCGGCGGCGTTGGGCTTGGCGTGCCAGTCGGGCTGTCCTTGGGCGTGTGCACCGGTGTGCCTTTTGGGGTGGGGAGGGGGCTTCCTCTGGGGGAGGGGTGGGGGGTTACCTGTGTGATGGGGACAGATTTGCCGTTGTGGTCAGGGTGGAGGTGGTGGCGGCGGAGGGGAGACATGGGGGGCACAGGGGAGAGCGGGATGGAGAGTTTGGGGGGGACAGTGAGGGGAGGGTGTCGCCGGACCCGGGGGCTGTTGGGGATGCAGGGAGCCAGAGGCTGGCTCGGTGTGGACGGCGCCGAGTTGGGCGTGCTGGAAGTCTGGACCGTGGTGGGGAGTGGGTTGGATCTGGTGGTCTGCAGGGGTTTCTCTGACACTTTGGGCTTGGCGGGGAGGGTCTGCGTGCGTGGGTGCATGAGGGGGGACCCCATCTTTGGATGGTAGGTGTTGGGCGCACGTGGCCCCACCCCATTAAGGCGGACCTCATGGGAGTGGGTGGGGCTGCAGTTGGGCGACTGACACAGGTCTGGGGACTGGGGCGGGATGAAAAACCGCCTGTTGGGCTGCGATTGGCCATGCACCATTACACATGACAGCAGGAACAGCCAATGAGAAAGCCAGAGGAACACCATGGCCCAATAAAAGTTCATTCCATAAAAAAATGACAAAAACACGGCAGGAAATGGAATAAAGATGGGTGGAGCAGGCAGGGCGTGGTGAGAGTGCAAGAAAGAAAGAAAAACAGTGATCAGCCAATCAGGAGGCAGCAGTGGAGCAGTCATGGTGTAGGGGTGCACCGAGTCTAAATTTCAGGGTGGAAAACTCCGACCGGCGCTGATCCGGTTTCTGAAGTCTTACCAAACAGAAAAACATCATTTTTATTAAGTTTAAACTCTTGACACGATAAAATCTGCTGACCAACAAATAACTGATCGGATCAAACATCTCTGGGACGTTTCTGTCGAACATCAAGGACCGGAGTTAGTTTGGTGCTGATTTGGTCCTGAAGTGTCGGTGCATCCCTAAACACCAGCAAGTGACAACGGGGTTTAGCTTCACCCCCACGAGGGCGCATGCTAAGCGCTAACGTTCAGCACTGGGATGACTCAGCAGATCAGAGTCCGTACCGCTCGTCTTTTCCTCAGAAACATTAAACAAATCTGGATTCTTCAAAAGCTTCATGCAAAAGTTGCTCTACAGCTGCAGCCATCACAAACCACACCTGCTTTGAGTTTTCCACTCATGATGATTGGTATCAATTCTGACTTAATAGTTTAAAATTTTAGATTAAAAAATAAAATTCATGAAGGTTAATGTATTTCTTAAGTAACACATTTTATTTTTTAACTGAACGAAACATTTTGGGCTAAACAACTGAAGGTTTTAACAACATTTAAATAGTTTTAGATGATCTAACCTGCTCCGACACACACTTACAATAAATAGTTCCTCTTTTCCAAGTTTTTACGCAATCAGGCGTCTCAAATTTCAACATTTAAAAAAAAAAGGCAGTGAATTAATTTCAGGTAAGAAATCAGTCTGGTCCAGTCGGCTGACTTTTACTCTTATTAAAACTTTTAGAGAAATTATTTCTGTGAACCGTAAAGTTCGGAGACGTGAAAGTTGAGAATCAAAATGAACCCTGATAGGTTAGAAACTTTCATCCTGGATTTGTGCCTCATGTGACTTCAGAACCAGATTTAGGCCCTGTCCACACGTAGCCGGGGATCTGCCAAAATGTAGATATTTTTCTACGTTTTGGCCTGTCATCCACACGAAAACGGAGTTTTTTCACACGAAAACGGATCTTTTTAAAAACTCCGGCCAAAGTGAAGATCTGCGTTTTCTCCGTTTTGGGTGTCTGCGTGTGGATGGACAAAACCAGAGTTTTAAGGTCCGCAACGTCACTTTCCACGACAAAAAAATGCTGACATCACGTGTGCGACCTGTGTTTACACTAGCCGGCATCACGGAAGCTTTCAGAGCTGCCCTCTGTCACTACCCGATCCATCAATTGTCCAAGCGCTTTCTGCTTGTTTGTTTTTGCAAGCGGAATTACTGCTCCTTGCAGAAGACCACAGACGAAGGACGAGGTTAAGAACGGGGGAAGTACTGCCACCTACAGGTCTGGCATGTCCTTAACAACGTATTTATCCGGGTACGTGTGGACAGAGTTTTTTTTTTTAAACGCGGTGGTGTGGATGCAAGTTTTTGGAGGGGCGGATATTCGTTTTCAAAAACCCCGGCTACGTGTGGACTAGGCCTTAGATGTTTGGTTTGGGTGAAATACGTTAAGGCAGGACTGGGATGTGACCGGAACGTTTCGGCAAAAGTCAGATGGGAAATTAGACGAAAGCGTGAAGAGAAAATAAAAAATATATTCTGGAGATTTAAAATAAGCTAAATAAAGATGGGTAACATATACTAGAACAGGTCAAATAAATGAAACCGTTTTACTGATTTATTTTTAGGGCGCTCTCAACGTTCCGTACTCAAGTTTCCTCATTTAAAAGGGAAAAGTTCTTGCATGAATCCATCAGTTTTTTTTTCTTTAAGAGTCTGATAACATATCAAACGAAGAGATTTATTCCATAAAAAACTGAGAATGTTTGATTTTTACCTGGTTTGTGATTTTAAACTTGTTTAATCTAGACATGAAACCGCAGCAGATTTAGGATCCATTCTTCTAATCTGCCTAAAATATGAGTTTGTTCTGGATGGAAACAAATCACCGGATCTGACATGGAGTTCAGGCCTCCCTGGGATCCGGATCCACTTCATCTAAAGCTCTGTGTGACGAGCATCATCGCAGTCAGAGTGTGTGAATTTGGACCTGAAAGTTCAGGTTCTGCTCTGTCCAACAGGCTTTGATGAAGTCCTCAGCAGCTGCTGAGGTGGATGAGCAGATCGGTGAGTTAAAAGCATGCCAGCAGAGCCAGCCAGGTGCATTGTGGGAAACCAGTCAGCACGTAGAGGGGGCGGAGACTTACCCTGGGACTGCTGAGGGGACTGGTGGACAGACCAGAGGACGCTCCGCTGATCGACCGCGACCTGAAAAACAAGATAGGACTCAGAATTATAAATATGTTAAAAAAAACCTCAAATAAATAAAAAGTCTTAAAATAATTTCTGCCTCCAGTTATGAAAGTAAAAATATTTTTTTGAATTTTAAAATGATCTTTAGGACATCTTGGAGTTTGTTTCTATGTGAAGCCATTGACTTCTCCCTGAACAGCCTTTGTTCAGAGAAATAGTGTTGTACAGGACAGATGGGCTAACGGCTAGTCTTAAAGAGCAAGTTTAACTCCGCCCACATTTTCTATTTTAGAAATGCTCCAAAAGGAGGAGTTGCTTGGTCGACCTGGAGAGCAGTGCTGCAGCAATGACACAGAATTGTAAATAACCACAGAATTCCATGGAAATAACAATTCCATGGAAACAAAGCATAACATGAAATGGTGGTGTAAATGCTTAACATTTTGTTTATGATCCCTTTGAAGATGACAGCAGACTAGCCGTTAGCTCATCAGCCCTGTACACCCCATTTCTCTGATCAGAGGCTGAAGAAGTGAAATAAAAATGGTTTTTAAGAAGCTTCACACAAAACAGGAGCGAGCTAGCCTGGCAAGCCAGACTAAATAAATGTATTATTTAGTCTGGCCATGCTCCATTGACAGCTCTCGGTTGCGGGGCGGGTTCTACCGTTGTCTTTCAAATGATCTCCGCATTCCACTGGACAATGAATGTGACATACTCTTGTTTCACTGTTGCATCATCCCACCCACCAGGCATATAGAGTGCCCTGATTGGCCCACAAAGCGGATAAAGCTCTGTGATTTGTTCACTAAGCAGATAGAGCACTATGATTGGCCCACCATTATGGACCAATCACAGCTCTTTATGTGTTTGAAACCCCTCTAGAGAGCTGTGATTGGCTAGCCAGAGTCCTGGTAGGAGCTGCGGAGGTTCTAATGGAGCGTGTCTAGACCAAACTTTGCAAAGCAAGAATTTGGTCTAGTTCACTAGGCTAGGAGCGAGCAGCTTTTCAAAGGAAAATCTAGACTGAAGGTTAGACTGGAGAACATCTCAGACGTTTCATCAAAGAAGCTCCAAACAGCTGATTTAATCCTGACCCTGCCTGTCCAGTAAAGCTTTTCAAAGTTCTGATCAGTCAGAACCTGGTTCCTCTTAGCCGAACAGCGACCCGCTAACGGATCCGTTTGGGTCAGGAAGTCTCAGCAGCAGGGGCGGACTTAGGACTGAAGAAGATCCGGGGCTTAACACACACACACATACTCACGCACACGTGTGCGCGCGCATACACACACACACGCATTAGTCAACATCATATATATTTGTCTTGTACCACATAATTTTTAATCTGAAGCTACATATTAAGCATATTCAGGGCAGAGTATTGTTCCTGTTAGTGTTTAGTGTGAGATGATAGTAAATATTCCCTTTCTTTCTCCAACAACTTTACCTGATAAGCTAACTTTAGGCAAACCAGCAGCACAACAAATATTTTCAAATAAGACTCACAAACCTGAGTCAACACCAGTCTCATCAAAGCTGGGGTTCTGTCGCCGTACTTTTGGTCTAAAAAACGTCCTTATGTCCATCTTCACTCATGCGTTTCAGGCAGAGAGGGTAGAAGAAGCCGACTGCTGAAGGGCTTCTTCTTCAGTGGTGGAGGCTCAGGCAGGCTGTATACAAACTACTGCCAGCTGCTCCCTCTCTGTTGGACTTTGGTACTGCATGTTACTGCCACGTTTTAGATCCGGGGCTTCAGCCCAAGTAGCCGGGCCTAACGCCGCCCCTGCTCAGCAGCCTTTTAGCACCAGTAAGAGTTCAATCAGAAACATATCAGCATTTTAAACACACACATACACACACACACACACACACACACACACACACACACACACACACACACACACACACACACACACACACACACACACACACACACACACACACACACACACACACACACACACACACACACACACACACACCGACATGCATCAAATGCAAAATTCATTGTTTCTTTCTTCTACTCGTGAGTTTCGCTCATCTTTCATTCATGCGTCATTAACCTTTTATATTTCACTTCTCATTGTTTTCTTAAATGTCTTCACAAACACACACACACTCACACACACACACACACACCTGATGATGACTCACAGACAATTTGACTTTTTTGGATAATTAAAAACAAATCATAATTAAATATGCTTGAAATAAAACAGGAAACTCGTTTCCAGTTGGAATTTGGCTGAAAGTAGGGCTGCACAATATATCATAAATATATCGTTATCATGATGTCAGCATGCACAATATGCATATCGCAAAGAACAGATAAATATCGCAATAAATGGTCAGCTCAAATGTTTACTAAACATAACGCGTTCTGTCAATCAAACGGAAGTACTATGTTTTTTTAACAAATCAAATAGAGCTCTTCATCCATTTGGCCAAATTGGTGGGTTCTCACAGGTTAGATGCCCGCCCCGAGGTGGGCAGCACTTCATTTTGATGGTTAGCAAACACCTAAGCTAGCTTTGTTCTGCTCTTTTTGCCGATTCTGCTTTTCCCGGGATCCACTGATCGCCTTTTCTTCTTCATTTTATTTTTCCCTTTCCTCACATTTTTTGCTTTTCTCATTTTTACAATTTTTTTATTTCTTTGTTTTTGATTATTTTTGTTCCTGAGTGAAGTTTTTATTTATCGCAAGTAATATCGTCATCGCAATATTAATCACTGTTATCGCATATTGCAGGTTTTCCTTTTATCGTGCAGCCCCTAGCTAAAATGAAAATTTGCTATTCTGAGATTCTTCGTGGGACAAATAATAATGATAAAAAATCTAACGTCACTACCATATACATCTTCATTTAGATTCTAAATGAAGATGTATATGGTAGTGACGTTCAGCACACTCCCACACTGGCAATTGTTGGATGTCCTTCGCTGGCTCCTCAGCTGCGCAGCACATGGGGACCGCTCTACAGTTAGGGATAGTTGTGGCTAAAAAACTCATTCTTCTGAAATGGAAATCTACAACCCCACCTTCCTTTGGACACTGGCTCACAGAGATGCTACATGTCATTCAACTGGAATTGCTACATCCACACAAGACTGGCTGTCGCAGCAAGCTTGAGGAGAGCTGCAGACCTTTCCTAACCCGCTACAAGGTTATCTAGCTGGTGAAAGGGTTTGGATTAATGACTGGTGCTGAAACATACCTAATGTAATTTTGCTCTATCATCTGTAAATGTGCTTAATAGTAACTGTTTTATATACCTTTCTGTTTACAATTTCTCTTTTTCTTCTTTTTGTCTTTTTATATTTTTAAGTTTAGTATTTTTATTCTTATTTTGATTATAAGCGTATGTTTGATTATATGGCTTGACTAAAAACCTGAAAAATAAAATATAAAAAAAATTAAAAATCAAAATAAACAAATCCACTTAAGACCTTAATGTTTCAGCATCAAGGTCAAAGTCGATGTGAATTTATTTACAGAGCACATTTCAATGTGGCTCGCACAACCTAAAGTGCTGTACACACAGAACCAACGCATTACGTTATACACAAGAATTATTACACGGCGGTACCAAAAACACGATAATCATAAAAAGCAAACGTGAATGAGGCTAAGACAAACAGATGCACGGGGCAGCTGTCATTAAAAACCAAGTCAAATACATTCTTAGCTTAAAAAAGGGGCAGTGACCAATAAGAGTTTCTCTTCTATCTGCTCTATCCCGTCATTCTACGATTGGACTGAATTCTTATGTTTGTGTGTTTTAGGTTTTGAGTGAAATAAATGTGAAAACGTCTCAAGTAGAGACTTAAAATTTTCCAGACTGTGTGTGAACTTCAGAGGCAGTGGAAGGTTTTCACAACCTAGGAGCTGCGTCACCGCGGGTCTTCAGACAAGTCTCGGGCGTAAAGGGTGAGCTGGACCTCGTGATTCTGACGGGGGATAGAGGGTTAGGGTTGTAGATAGCCAGTAGTTGGTTTATGTATGCTGGAGCCAAGCCGTGAATGGACTTCGAAACAAAAAGCAACATTTTAAATCTGATCCTGAACCACACAGGGAGCCAGTGAAGGGTCGGCATTACTGGAGTTTTGTGGTCACGTTTCCTAGAACCAGCTAAAAGTCATGCCGCTGCGTTCTGGACCAGCTGTAGTCCCAGGCCAAGGTAGAGGGAGTTAGAGGAGTCCATATCAGCAGGGAGGTATGCTTAACTCTTGCCAGCTGCCTTAGATGACAGAACATCAGAGAGAATCATTTCCCTCTGAGGTCTGGATGGAACAGAAAATAAATATTAACAGTGAATTCTGTTTTCCAGGGTTTTAGTTGGAAGCTGAAATTGAACATAATTCACGTAAACCTCAGATTCCTAACAACAGCTGATCACAACCAGAACCTAGGTTAGTATTAGCAGACCGGAACTCCTTATCCGGTCCAGAACGGTTCTCGTCTCTTCCTTATTTCCCTCTGAGCAGACGGGTACTCCTTCAATCCTGTCCTGGTTCTAGATCAACAGTTCTCTGGAATGTCTGAGGGAGTTTCCCATCACACACGGTCTCGGAACTTTTCTTTTCTCTGACTATAAATCACTCGGGGTTCCTAACTCAAGGGATGAGCCAGAATCAAGTCGGCACAGAACAGAACCAGTTTAAACTGGTCCTTTAGATTTGCTGGTACCAGCAGCCTGGTTGGTTCTGCAACAAACCATTTGTCCTTGGTCTTCAGGTGCTGGTGCTGGTTCTGCTCAGGTCTTTGATTTGTTCCTGTTCATTACAGAGTATCTGCAGATTTAAGGGAGCCACATTTAAGACTTTTTTAAGGCAATTTTGACCATATTTAAGCTATTTGTAAACTAAATTTAAGCTACAGTATAGTTTCCAGCTATTGTCAGGAACCGGTGCTAACCACGTCGCGATCGTGGGATTAGCCATCCAGTTACCATTAAACTTGCACTTCCCCATGGCGCAAGCTCCCACTAGCTTAACCAGCTAATGTGCTCATCCAAAAATATTCCCCTTTCACAACCAGCTGAATGTGTACGGTTCCGCTTACGCCAACATCGTACACAAAAAATAATGAACACTAACTAGAAATTCACGAAAATTTTATAGAAATAAAAGAATCTTGTTTATTGGGTCTTTGGTAATTTAAGACCATTGGAAACATTATTTAAGGATTATTTATCATTTTTAAGGATTTTTGAGGCCTTAAATTTGGAAAAGCTAATTTAAGACTTTTTAAGGACCCGCGGATACCCTGCATTAGTTCATCTGTTTCTTTCTGTCTGAAACTTCTGGTTTGGCTGAGAAGTTCGGGTATCGGGTCTGAGAATTGCTGATCCAGAACTGTGTAGATCAGATCCTCTTCCCTCTGCATGTAGAACCAGAACAGAACTGGAAGCTTTGAACCCATAAACAGCTGTCCGAGGCTCCGCCCCCTTTGCCAGCCTCTTCACACGAGGAGCTTCCATTAACATAAAACTCATTAGCCGTGACACTGACCAGCCCCAGAACCAGGAAGCTGCAGCCGGCGGCTCTTTGAAACGACTAAATTAGTTCCCGGTCCATCACCGGAGCTGCAACCAGCCTCGTTTTCCGGATCTCCACAATTAGATGATGAGTGAGATAACGGGTTAGTGAGTGGAAGCCTCATTTCCATCTCCTGCTTGTGCTCCATCTGCATTTCTGCCAATTAATTTATGCAAATCCGTATCCAAGCCGCGCCTCGACATGCTAACCGTTTCCTGCTGCAAGGTCGGCCACCGGAGAGGATTCAGCAAAGACGGAAAGAGCACAGACATCCAGCTCCCTCCTCCTCCATCACACACCGATGAGGAGGAGGCGGGAAGGTCACCTGCAGAATCCTCCCGAGGGTCTCATTCCTCCCTGGACCAGAGGCTTCACAGCTGAGTCGCAGACGGAGGAAAAGTTCATAAAAACAGCAAAAAACTCAAAGCTTTTCTACACACGATGGATCAGGTCTGCAGCTGCAGGAGGTCGGGAGAAGGTTATAAAAATAGGAGTTACATCCTCCCAGAACCGGAACCAGAACCCTCCCAACAGTCGGAGCTTTTGGCTGCAGCTGCAAACTCAGAAACATTTAAAAACACGACATCGGTTACAGATGTGGCTCCTGTCATTCGGATCTGGGAGGAGCTGCTGCTTCTTCTAGAGTTTTCGGACCAAACATCTTTTCACATTGAGCTTTTTGGATAATATGCATCAGGAGACCTTTCACCTCAGCTCCCAACACCCCGAACTCCACAAACGTCTCCTCACATCACCTTTATTTATAAAAGCACTTTACAGACATTTATTATGTCACCAAGGTGCTGAACAAGACTAAACTAAAAAAGATAAAAATGAAGAATATAAGGAAACCAAACAAAAAATAAAAAACAGCAAAATACAAAACAACATCAGTTAACACACAGATTTAAAAGCCAGATTATAATAATGGGTCTTCAGCGCCTTCTTAAAAACCTCTACTGACGTGGAGAGTCGCACAGATAACGGAAGATCATTCCATAATTTCGGGCCTGCTACCGAAAATGCCCCATCTCTTCGTTTTGAGCCTAGTTGCGGGGACTAGAAGCATATGGTGACTCTCTGAGCGGAGTGAACGACCAGGTATATATGGCTGTAACAAGTCAGATAAATATTCTGGTGCCATCCTGTTAAACGTCGTCGTCGTCTTCCTCCGCTTATCTGGGTCCGGGTCGCGGGGGCAGCATCCCAACTAGGGAGCTCCAGACCGTCCTCTCCCCGGCCACCTCCACCAGCTCCTCCGGCAGGACCCCAAGGCGTTCCCGGACCAGATTGGAGATGTAACCTCTCCAACGTGTCCTGGGTCGACCCGGGGGCCTCCTACCGGCAGGACATGCCCGAAACACCTCCCCAGGGAGGCGTCCAGGAGGCATCCTGACCAGATGCCCAAACCACCTCAACTGACTCCTTTCGATCCGGAGGAGCAGCGGTTCTACTCCGAGTCCCTCCCGAATGTCCGAGCTCCTCACCCTATCTCTAAGGCTGAGCCCGGCCACCCTACGGAGGAAACTCATTTTGGCCGCTTGTATCCGCGATCTCGTTCTTTCGGTCATTACCCAAAGCTCATGACCATAGGTGAGGATTGGGACGTAGATGGACCGGTAAATCGAGAGCCTGGCTTTCTGGCTCAGCTCCCTCTTCACCACGACAGATCGGCTCAGCGTCCGCATCACTGCAGACGCTGAACCAATCCGCTTGTCGATCTCCCGATCCCTCCTACCCTCACTCGTGAACAAGACCCCGAGATACTTAAACTCCTCCACTTGAGGTAGGACCTCTCTCCCGACCCGGAGCTGGCAAGCCACCCTTTTCCGGTCGAGAACCGCTCAATGCCTTAAAAACCAATAAAATTATTTTAAAACGCACTCTAAAAGCGACCGGTGACCAGTGCAGATCTGCCAGGATGGGTGTCACATGATCATATTTCCTTTTCCCTTCTAGGAATCTTGCAGCAGTGTTTTGCACAAGCTGCAGACCCCAGTTAAGACAGAGTTACAGTGGTCTACACGAGAGGCGATACACGCATCGAGGTCCTTTCTAGTTAAAAATGACTTCACTTTGGCCAGACGTCGCAAGTGGTAAAAAGAGGACGATACAACCGCACCCACATGTGCGTCGAAGGTGGAAGCGTTACCTAATGTCACTCCTAAGTTGACTGCTGAAGATCGTAGGTAGGCATTCATATCCCTACAATCCAGTTTTGATTACTCTAAATCACGATGTTTATGTTTATGTATTTAGCAGTCGCTTTTGTCCAAAGCGACTTACAAGTGATAATCGGCATGTTGCCCTTGAGGCTAACAACAACAATAACAACAACAATAACAACAACTTGACATCAATCATGGAGAGGAGGGAACAAGGAGTGGACAGTAGAGAGGGGGACGGGTGCAGGGAAGGTGCTACTTTAGAAGATGCTCTCTGAAGAGCAGGGTCTTCAGGAGCTTCTTGAAAATTGAAAAGGAAGCCGCAGTTCTGGTAGTACTTGGTAGGTCGTTCCACATTTGTGGAACGATGCATGAGAAGAGTCTGGATTGTCCTGAGCGTGGTGTAGGCACTGCTAGCTGACGATCCTGTGATGACCGGAGCGGCCGGGCCGAGACGTAAGCCTTTGCAAGAGGATTCAGGTAGATGGGAGCCGTACCGTCTCGGACTTAGTATGCTAGTGTTAGCAATTTGAATTTGATGCGTGCTGCTAGCGGTAGCCAGTGGAGCTCAATGAACAGAGGGGTGACGTGTGCTCTTTTTGGCTGGTTGAAGACCAGACGCGCCGCTGCGTTCTGGACCATTTGAAGAGGTCTCACAGTACAGCCTGGAAGACCAGTTAGAAGGGCGTTGCAGTAATCGAGGCGGGAGATGACAGTAGATTGCACCAGGAGCTGGGTGGCATGTTGTGTTAGGTATGGTCTGATCTTTCGTATGTTATACAGCACAAAGCGGCATGAACGAGCAACAGAGGCAACATGATCTTTAAAGGTCAGGTGTTCATCAATCACAACACCCAGATTTCAAACTGCCTTTGAAGGAGCCAGAGATGGGAATTCAAGTCACGATGTAACCCAAACAGCACTGCCTCAGTCTTGCTTTCATTCAGACATAAAAAATTGTCCGTCAACCACGACTTAACTTCAGGAATCATGCAGGAATGATGAATTCTCACCCTCACCTTTGATTTCTTCACATAAACTTTACATTTCAATCACTTAAATGGTCGACAAATGACCACACAAAAATCTAAACGAACACAAAAGCTGTAAAACGTTGATGTAAAAACTAGAAGACAGTATTTTGGCTCATTTGTAGCTTTTCCGTATAAACATATCCGTAAATGAGGCTCCTTTTCATCTTTGATTTCTCCAAAACGTAAAAGTCTGACCTTTTTCATCTTCATCATTTTTTTCCCTCACGTTTGAATTTAAATTCAGTTTATGTCAGAAATAAAGTAGCTGATGATCAAACATGCAACATTTAAAAGTGAAAGACAGGTAAGAGGAACTTAAAGCATCTGAGACGAGCAGGAGGGACAGAAGAGGTGAGAGGGGACAAACGGAGCGGGTCAGTACCTTTCCTCCTTGCTGCAGTTAGCGTTTGTGATATCCAAGCTTTTACTGAAAACAGATTTGCTAAAAAAAAAAGAGGCAGACAGAAAGTAAATAGTCACATAGAAGGAATCCTAAGGTCCGACATGCAGAACAGAACCAGAGCCAGGAAATAAAATCAAACTTAAACCAGTGTGAAATAAAGAGGAGCTCATGCAGACGAAAACCCAGACACAGTCAGAGGTCATGCTCGGGTCAAAGAGACAAAAACAGCAGCAGCAGGAAGTTCTGATCCGATCTGAAGGAAGGGATCAGAACGGGGACACTCGGCTCCGGATTTTTACCGGACCAGAGAGAAGAGCCGCTGGAGAATCTCAGATAGTTTCACTTTCACTCAGACTCTTTTCAGAGCAAATCCTGGTTCAGATGAGAAACAACAACCCCGTATAAACGTCACCGACCCAGAACCGGCCACCTAAAGACCCAACAGAACCTCAGTAATCCTCTTCTGTTGGGCCTCATCAGTCCAGCATGGTTCCGGAAAAGTTCTGATCCACTCCTCAGAAGGTTTCCGGCCCTCTGAAGGCCCACCACGGCGTTTCGATCAGGTTCTGGACCGGTTCTTCTGTGTTTGGGATCATATTTCTGTTCATGAGCCGTTCGGATCGGCTTCAGCTGAAACAGGTGGAATTTATCCACCTCCTCAGTCTGGTTCTGAGGTGACGACCCAAATGACTGCAGAACCAAAGCAGAACATCTAAAGTAAGAGCTGTCGGACCGCTCAGATTTGTTCTCCGTTAACAAATCGATACCCTTCACCTCAAACGTCTCCCTGGAGTCGTTACTTCCTGCTTTAAGAAGGTTTAAAGCCTCTGAGCTACAGAGGATTTTTATTTAGATCCAGACGTTTAACGAGACGTCGACTCCAGCAGGAGGTCTAACCCTAACCCAATAAAACCCGACACGAGGTCACGACCCCAGCTGCACCGAAACTAAACACAAAGTCTAGAGAAGAGCCACATTTCACCGACAGCCATGATCTGTGTGGGGTCAACCAGGAGACGGAGCAAGTCAGTTAGCGTTAGCCTAGCTTTCAGCCAACTTCCACGTGAAGAGTTTCCTAAAGCCTGAAGACGCTGAAGCAGAACGCGCCACAGCAGGAACTCACTTTACAAAATAAAAGTGGTCAATCCAAACAACCGATCCAAAAGAGCTGCTGTTCTGGAGACTTAGACGCCTACCAGACAGGAAAGGTTCAAACACTAAAGGTCTCCAAACGTTCTTCAGGGTCCAAAAGCATCGCAGAGGTGTTTCGGGATCCTAGAACCCGTCTCAACCCAGTTTCTGAGTCAGAAACAGCAGACGTAAGACAACATTGGGAGGGGTTGGAGAAAAGATCGGGACATACTTAAGACACTTTGTCGTATTTTATTCGTAACTGCGTCACCTGACCAGATGAAAAGCATCTAGAAGCGTTTAAAAACAGTTCAGTGTGAATCTATCGCAGAGGTAGGGAACCGATGGCTCGTGAGCTGGAAGTGGCTCTTTTGATGACTGCATATGGCTCTCAGATAATTCACAGAAACCACATAAAAAAACATTATTGTGCATTTTAACATCCATCCATTTTCCATCGCAACTGTTTAATGTGTTGCAACACACGCTCACTCCCAGCGCGTCAAAAACAAGCGCTCGGTCAGCCGCCCTCCGCGTCAAACCCCCGACGCCAAAAGCGCCCTTTTTCGTCACTTAAGTACGAAAAGGAGGTTTCGCCTTTCTGACTGCAGATCCTGATGCAGCGTAATATATACGGCTCTGTCAGCCAAAAAGGTTCCCGACCCCCGATCTATCGAAACTATAGAGTGACTCATTGGAGACAGAAAAGAGAATCAGACTCATGGAAAAATTGCAAAGTTAAAGAAAAATGTGAAAAAAAATTTAATTTAACTGCAAGAAATGTCTCAATTTATTGGCTAAAACAAAGATTTTACCCTGATTCTGTGTCTCTGATTAGTTGCAGCCCAGGGGCAATTTTACTCCAGGTAATGTATTGTAATATCGATATTGTGGGCCAGGTATCGAGTATCGTATCAAACCACGAGGTGATTAAAGGTTCCAGGACTTCAGCTGAAAACAACCATTTGCGAATCAGTCCCCGTCTTCTATTCCACATCCAAGGAATGGTTTTTTAGCTAAGGAGCAGACAATTTGGGGAACTGCTGCCACCTACGGGCTTGGCGTGTGCATAAATGTGCTTCATCGGGCATTGGATTTGTGCGCTGAAAATGAGGTGTGGTAGACCCAAGTTTTATCCTAGGTGGATGGGGGAGGATATTCGGTTACACAAAAACATGAAGAACGTAGAACTTCCGTCCTGTTGGTCTGTCCCAGATGAACCAGGAATCACGGAGAAGAACCGGAATGCCTCTGATCTTCTGTGATGTCATGCCTCATGCACATTTTGCAAACCCGGATAAAAAGAGGATTTTCAATCAAAACAACAAATCTGATTGCAAAACTTTTCTAAATCTCAGCTGAGGGGAATGGGAACTTGTGATTGGCTAATACCTTGTCTGAATCTCATTGGGGGAGGGGCTGAGGCCAACCAATAGAAACGCACGCGTCCTTCAGGTTTCATCAGTCCCCGCCCACTTGGTAGATTTAAGCTTTAAAAAATGAACCAAAAAGCCTTCTGATAAATTTTTGCATGAAAACCAATTTTAAGTCGACAAAAACAACTCGTTTACATTTAATTGTTCATTTAAAGAATATTTAATTTTCAAAATAAAATAGAAAAGTTTTGAGATCAAATGTTTTTATAGTGAATCTTTTTTGTTTGAAGTTGAGTGAAACAGACCGGATGCGACGATGCTGGACCAGAACCGAGGTCAGAACCAGGGGTTCTCTGTACATCTCCACCCAGCTCGTGTGTTTAGCTGCAGCTCAGCCAAAGCAGCAGTGACTCGCAGAGGAAGAGGAGGTCCGACGAAGACCAGCTGAGGTAATCGTCCTCCCCGCTGGTCCGAACCGGGTTTAAATGCATGACTTTTCACCACCACTAATCACCTGACCCAGAAACATGTCCACCCATGCACACAAACACGTGTGCCGCCATCCGCCTCTCACCTCTGACCGTGGGTCGCCATGTCGATGGCTCGTCGGACCGGGACCGGGGAGCCTCCCTCTGTGACGGTCAGAACCTCCATGGACTTCCTCTCGGGTCTCCGCTTGCCGTGGCGGCTCAACATGGGGGAGTCCACTCTCTTCCTGGGAGGGTCTGCTGAGCGTGTCAGGATGAGTCGGAGAAAAGAAACAAACAAACTTTCAGGAGGGAAAAGTTCAGAGAATCACAAATGTGTGAATTATTACAATAATGAGTTTAATCGTTAATGATTTCAATTTATAAACAAACAGGAACAAAAATGATCATAAAAACATGAAAATATTCTGCTGATTTGGACTTTATTCTACAAATGAATGGATGAACAGAAATGAAAATGTGTATAAAGCTTCATCCGTCCATCCTAAAGAACGGATCTGAACACCATTACTAGTATTAATAAGATGATCCAAACGCATCCATGAAAACCGTCACCAGTCTGACGAGAACCAGGCTGTCCGGTCATGGACGTAATTTTAGGGGGCGACGGGGGGGACATGTCCCCCCCCCACTTTTTCCAAAGTCAAGTTTTGGCCCCTGCACTTTTTACCATCCAAAAACAATATTACACTATACTAAGTTGACACTGGTTGAGCTCTAGGACCAAGCGGAAAACAACCGTTTGTGTTGAAGCCGGTTTCCCATTAGAGCATATTGTAAAGATACCCCCACACACACACCCCCACACACACACCCACACCCCCATCCCCCTCACTTCTAAAGTGAAAATTATGTCTATGTGTCCGGTTCTCTCCGGGTTCTGAATGTTTGGGATGAATAAATCCGCTCCAGGTTCCTACCAATCTCGTTGCGAGGCGGCAGGTTCTGATCCTCGTGGCTCGGATATCTCTCCTTCCGATCCAGCAGCAGGAAGTAGATCATCTTCTCCTGGTTGTCACTGGGCAGAGACAGAGAGGTGGAGGGACAGACGCTCCATCATCACGGAGAAAATGAAACAGCGGGATTTTCTGACAGCTTATAGACACGCCTCTCACTCCTCAGACAGCAGGTCTTTGGTCAGCTTGTCCTTGTCTCTGAAGCAGCCCAGGGAGTGCATGCTCTCCAGGACGTCCGGGTCGATCTCTTCAGAAGACAACGTTCTGATGGCCACCTTCCTGGGAACGGGCTGCTCCGGCTCCGGCTCGTTCTTCCCGGCGCTGAAGCGAGAAAACAAAATGACAAATCGTCACTCAGCTCATAACGAAGGGAACAAACACACACACACACACACACACACACACTTACAGGTACCAGGTGTGCTTCTGAATCTGCTCCAACTGTAACCAAGCAGAAACATCATCAGGTTTATTGAGAGGAAAACACTAAAAAGTCCAAAAGTACCGAAGCGGCGCGAGAACTCACCGTCAGCCTCTTGGTGGCATCGACCTCGATCATTCCCCGCAGGAGGTTCTGACAGTCCGGAGGGATGAAATGAGGCATGTGGAAAACTCCCAGCTTCACCTTCTCCAGGAGGTTCCTCAGGTTGTCGTCGTCGAACGGCAACGCGCCCTGGAAGCCCGTTTCAAACAGCTCAAACTTTATTTATAAAAAACACTTCATCTAAGCAAGAAAGGAACGAAGACACACAAAATAATAAAAAATAGTGAAAAAGGAAAAACGTTGAATTCATCGGTTTAGAAGAATCAATCAAAAGAAAACAAATTATAAATAAAGACCCATAATAAACCAAAATAAAGATTATTCTGCAGTAACTCTGAGACAGAAGGATTTCAGGTTCTGATCGGCCCGCTGGTCGTTTACTGGGCCGGGTCGGTGCTGGCATCAGATTTGCTGATGATGAAGTGGTTTATTGTGACTCCGCTGCAGCTGGGGAGCGTGCTCAGTGAAGTGATGACTGATCCGTCTCTCCTCCATCAGAACCAAGTGGGACGGCACCAGATGCATCGGGACATTTATCTTCTGCTTCGTCTTAATCAGCTGCCGTTTGCTAACAGTAATTAACTTGCTGTGTCGACAGCTCGCCCGTCATCGTCACGGAGACGCTCCGGTGACAAACCCAATTACAGAATCTCAGAACAAACCAGAACTTTACTAAAATTCTAAACCGGATCTGGATTTCCCTTCCAGCTGCCAGACTCTCCTGGAAAGATCAGGGAGTGGTTTTAATCTGTGGCGCTCCAGATTAGGGCCGAAACAAGTCAAGTGACTCAAATCCATTTGGTTGGAAAATTATCCTCAGATTAAAGGATTCAGTCGAGAAAAACAGGAAAAAGGAAAAGGGGAAAAAGATTCACTGCCGGTGTCGGTACAGGATCTGCTCAGGTGCAAGATCGGCTCGGGGTCCTTCGACTGCCGATGACGTCAAAGTACGGCAAGCCCACTCGGACAAAATACACTACACATCTTTATACTGTTGGAAAGAATTTAGCAGTTTCGTTATTAAAATAATGTTTCTCACGACGTAAGTTTGTGTTTATAATGGTATTTGTAAAATAAAACACTATATTGTATTCATAATGTTGAACTCCTCTTTGAGCACATCCCTTGAAGGATCATAGTTATTAGCAACACCTGTGAAATTGTATTTGCAGGAAACAAGTGTGTCCCGTTTGTTGAAGTATTTTGTGTTTAGAGTTTTTGACGTCTTGTCCATGCGTAGTTCAGTTACGCTCATAGCTGCTAGCCAAAACTCTGGAGTTAATAGTTTTCTGGCTTTACTAAAATACCTGTCTGTACTTGTTTGATGGAAGTTTTACTTTCTATTAGACTCCAAATGTAATCATTTGTCACGTTTCTAATTCATAATTTGTAAGAATGTAATCAGTGATATTAGCATTAGCATTCATATGGGTTTTTCCATGTATATTAGCATTGCGCTAACCACTCGCTGCCAAATTGCAGCCTTTGCAATTAGAAAATCTCCTTTTGTCACATCGCAATTTAATTGCACATGCAGTTAATCGTTCAGCCCTAATATACATGCTGCTCTATGCTAAAAATGTATTTTCAAAGAGGTAATGATGGATTTCTTTCTAAAAGTTGTTCATCTTTCCAACAGAAAAATTTACCTGGACCAACGTAATGTGATAACGTAACGTGATAACAACGTAATTCCGTAAGGTTTATGTTCAGCCAATCAACTACTTTAACGTCATCGGCAGTCGAAAAACCCCGAGCCGATCCTGCACCCGAGCAGATCCTGTACAAACACCGGCTGTACGGGAGGTTTTTCACCTTGTAGTTAAGCTAGTAAGCTAGCATAGCAGCTCTCCTGTTTAGCTTCATCACAACAAGATACACGCTGAGGGTCTAAATATGAAGGCTAAACCATTCAGTCAATCACTTCCAGGAAGGACACGACCTATAGTGGGTACGGAAAGTATTCAGACCCCCGTCAATGTTTCACTTTTTGTTATATCGCAGCCATTTGCTAAAACGTTTTTCCCTCAATGTACACACAGCACCCATGTTGTCAGAAAAACACAGTTTTAGAAATTCCTGCGGTTATTAAAAAACAAAAACTGAAATATTACATGGTGTTAAGTATTCAGAGCCTTTGCTCAGGTTTTAGTAGAAGCATCTTTTGAGCTAATGCAGCCATGAGCCGTGAACGTTGGTGGACGGCCATTTTTAGGTCTCTCCAGAGATGCCCAGTTGGGTTTGAGTCAGGGCTCTGGCTGGGTCATTCAAGAACAGTCACAGCAACACATTCTCACACCCAAGGTGTCAAAATATGACGCGTGTGACCAAGCCTCAATATTTGACGATTCGGGACGCCCCAGCGCGTCAGGAGACGACGATCAGGGACAAACTGCTGACGTAGCGTCCCAGAGCGTCCATTTCCGACGCCGGTGCTGAGACGGACATTAGAACTACTTGTGAACTACTTAACCTTCCCCTCACCCCAATCCTAACCTTAAGGTCACAGTTTATTGACCTTAAGGTTGGGATTGGGGTGAGGGGAAGGTTAAGTAGTTGAATAATGTCCGTGTGACCACGCACGTCAAACACTGATGCCAGCGGAGCCACGTGGCCCTGCCTGTCCCTGATCGTCGTCTCCTGACGCGCTGGGGTGTCCCGAATCGTCATATATTGAGACTTGGTCACACGCGTCATATTTTGACGCCCTGGGTGTGAGAATGTGTTGGTCACAGAGTTGCTGTGAAGCCTCTCCTTTGTTATTTGAGTTAGTCTGAGGTCCTGAGCACTCTAGAGAAGGTTCTGGTCCACGATATGTGAGTACTTGTTCGCAGTCATCCTTCCCTCAATTGTAACCAGTCGTCCCGTCCCCGCAGCTGAAAAACACCTCCAGAGCATGATACTGCCACCACCATGCTTCACTGTGGGGACTGTATTGGACTAGTGATGAGCAGTGCCTGATTTTTTCCACACATATCGCTTAGAATTAAGGCCAAAAAGTTCTATCTTGATCTCATCAGACCAGAGAATTTGATTTCTCACCATCTCAGGGTCCTTCAAGTGTCTTTTAGCAAACTCCATGCAGGCTTTCATGTGTTTTGCACTGAGGAGAGGCTTCCGACGGGCCACTCTGCCATAAAGCCCTGACTGTTGATTGTTGCAATGATGGTCGACTTTCTGCAAAGTCCTCCCATCTCCTGACTGCATCTCTGGAGCTCAGCCACAGTGATCTTTGGGTTTTTTGTTACCTCTCTCACCAAGGCTCTTCTCCCCCGGTAGCTCAGTTCGGTCGAACAGCCTGCTCTAGGAAGGGTTCTGGTCATCCCAAATGTCTTCCATTTAAGGATTATGTTGGCCGCTGGGCTCTTCGGAACGTTAAGTGCATCAGAGATGTTCTTGTAACTTTGGCCAGATCTGTGCCTTGCCACAATTCTGTTTCTGAGCTCTTCAGGCAATTCATTTGACCCCATAGATCTCATTTTCTCCGGCATGCATTGTGAGCTGTGAGGTCTTACATGGACAGGTGTGTGGCTTTCCTAATCAGGTCCAATCAGCATAATCAAACACAGCTGGAGGATAATCTCAAGGATGATCAAAGAAAGCACCTGAGTTAAATATATGAGTGTCACAGCAAAGGGTCTGAATTCGTAGGACCATGTGATGTTTCAGCTCGTCTTTATTATCAGCTCTGCAGAAATGTCTAAAATTCTGTGTTTTCTGTCAACATGGGGTGCTGTGTGTACATTAATGAGGAAAAAATTTAATTAATTTTAGCAAATGGCTGCAATATTACAGAGTGAAAGACTGACGGGGGTCGGAATACTTTTTCGTACACACTGTATGTGGACTGGGTAGGACGAGTGCTCACAAGTATGCTATCCCTACTTTGTACAGCTCATGACTGGGAACAGCTCAGGGATCATGTTTCAGGGGGGCAGGTATTGCTGCGGGACAACATGCTGATGCTGTTCTACAATGGAGGAAACAAAACAAAGAGGGTCTCTGCCAACACCAACATTTAATCAAACAAAGATGTTAAAAATCGAGCTGCAGCATCCTGATTCCTGCCGCTCAAAGCGGTGATTAAAACGTCCGTCATGCAGCGGTATCGAGCGGCAGAGTTACTCACCACTAAAAGTGCAAACAGGATGACTCCACAGCTCCACGCGTCCGCTTTCCTCCCGTCGTATTTCTCCCCCTGATCACCAGAGAAACACTTTCAATGAGCTTCTACAGACAGACATCATCATGATGATGTGTTCAACCTGAAACCAACATCAGCACCGACTCCTCTGATGCTTCTCATCCTGGTTTTATTCTTATTTTTAGTAAGTGGCTGACCTACAACAGCACAGAAATACAAACTTAACATCAGAGTTTTCAGGGAAAACCTTCTAAAAGAGCCAGTAAACAACCATCATTATCATTATTTATTATTACATTTATAATCATTATTATCGTTATTATTATTATTAGTAGTAGTAGTAAATTTATTATTATTATATTTATTATTAGTATTATTGGTATTATTATAATATGTATTTTTATTATGATTATTATTTTTATTAGTATTACAATTATTATTATTATTATTATTATACAATCATTATATTTATTAGATTATGATTATTATTAGTTTTTATTATTATTATATTTATTATTAGTAAATTTATTATTATTATCATAATTATTATTATAATATTTATTATTAGTATTATTGGTATTATTATTATATGTATTTTTATTATGATTATTATTATTTTTATTAGTATTACAATTATTATCATTATTATTATTATTATTATATTATTATATTTATTATTATTATTATATAATTATTATATTCATTAGTATTCCGATTATTATTATTTTATTAATATTATTTATTATTATTATATTTATTATTATTATTATTATTGTTGTTATTATAATTATTATTATTACTATTATTATTGTTATTACAATTATTATTATTATATTATTATTACTATTATTATTACCTACATTCAGCTGCAAACAGACTTTAAATTTCCTGGAATTGGTTCCAAAGCTGACGTTTAGACTTTAGAAAGAACCAGAACAACAACCCATTAAGTAAGGGATAATTAGAAAGGAGGTTAACAGAGATGATAATGTTTTATTGACCCCGAAATGGATCGGGTTTTCTGGGATGAGAAATAATTTATTATGAAAAAACAACCCCCCCACCCCCCAAAAGCAGCAGCTAAAATTTAAAAACACATTTTTTCCACTTTCTTTAAGCAGAAGGACCATCAGTTTGAAGACATGTTGTAGGCTTTGTCATCCCTCAGACGTGTAAAGTCCTGGAACTGAATCGACCCGAACACGAGTCCATTAAAGCCGGGACATCAGTGAAAGGATGTAAAAGCAGCTTTATACGGAATGAAAGGAGGAGGAAGCACTCACCCTGATGACCTCTGGGCAGGCGTAGTGTGGGGATCTGCAGGAAGAACCAGACGTTATTTAGGTTCCAGTTTGTTTCTATTGATTTTCATTTTGCTGGGTTCTAATTTAACTATTCAGGTGCGTGGTGACACTAAATAACAGGAAACTGGCTAGTTTCTTCTTGTATTTTAGCTCCAATATTTATTGAGAGAGCAGAAAAGGAGAGTTTGACCGATAGATAAAGCAGCTCCAGTTTCTCTGGACCACCAGCTTCTGGTCCAGATCCTGACTGATGGAGCTCATTATTCATCATCCATGTTGGGTTTGAGTTTACCTCCTGCCTCTGGAGAATTCATCACAAGTTCTCATTGGGATGAAGGTCTGGACAACTGGACCTGTACCCAAAGCTTTATCACTCTGGACTGCTAGAGGCATTCCTCTGGGAGGATGTCTCAGTACCCGTTCTTTATTAGGTTCTGAGGCTCTAAACAACCACCATGGCCCTCCGCAGTCCAGTCGCTGGATCTTCAGCTGAAGATCACTGATGGTTTTATTTGACAGAAGCAACTTCATAAGTCATGTGATGTTCCTCTAGAGGTTACATTTTATTAATGTAACTAATGGGACATCTGTTTAAATAAGAATGATTTACTGTGTAACTTTTCATGAGTAATTTAGTTAGACGGACACACAAGAATATGACTGATTCACGTCAATCTTCTGCAAATGAGTTGGTGTTTGATATGAAGCAAACAAAAAGAATGAAGCAGCCTTCTATAAGGTAAGGGGCCAGATAAATAAAGACGATAACAAAGGTTTCATTTCCAGATGAGTTCTGCAGCCTCGACTGGTTCAACATTTAGAAAAATAAGAGTTGAATTCATTCGACAGGATTTCTGTTTGGATCATCAGAGCGGACCGAGTCCCTCCAACAGCCTCAGAACACACCGACGTCACTGCTGACGCCATTAATTATGCTAATGTATGTAAACACACACACACACACGTACACGCATGCACGCACAGGCATGCACACACGCACACGCACACACACACACGTACACGCATGCACGCACACACACACACGTACACGCATGCACGCACAGGCATGCACACACACACACACACACGCACATACACACACACACACACGTGTAAACACATACATATACATGCACGCACAGGCATGCACACACGCACACGCACACACACACACACACGTACACGCATGCACGCACACACACACACGTACACGCATGCACGCACAGGCATGCACACACACACACACACGCACATACACACACACACGTGTAAACACATACATATACATGCACGCACAGGCATGCACACACGCACACACACACACGTACACGCATGCACGCACGCACACACACACGTGTAAACACATACATATACATGCGTGCGCACACACACGCACACACACACACAAATACATATACATGCGCGCGCACACACACACACACATGCACACACACACACACACACACACACATGCACACAACCACAAATGCATATACATGCGTGCACGCACACACACACATGCACACACACACAAATGCATATACATGTGTGCACGCGCACACACACACACACACACACACACACACACATGCACACACACACAAATACATATACATGCGTGCACGCGCGCGCACACACACACACACACACACACAAATACATATACATGCGTGCACGCACACACACACACACACACACAAATACATATACATGCTTGCGCACACACACACACACACACACACACACACACACACACACACACACACACACACACACACACACACACACACACACACACACACACACACACACACACACACACACACACACACACACACCAACTGCAATCTAAATACAGTGAAGCAAATCTTCCTTCCTGCTGAAGACGACTTGTTTGTTAAATGAATTTTCGGAATGTCACAAGGAGCTCGTTGGACTTTCCAACTGGAAAAAGATCCGTCTGCGGTTCACGAAGGTGAAACTTTTCAGAATCAGATCTGGATGTGGTTTTAATTCCTTCATCGACCAATCCAGAAACCACCGTCGTGTTTCACTAAACTCTCCAACGTGTCGGCACTTCCTTCCTATTTGACGTTATTTTGTTTTCGCCTCCGTGGTTCTGAGGTGAGCTCGTTTGTGAAACAATCTACAACAAAAGTCCCAGAGAAGGTCTCAGAACATTCATGAGGATTCTCCGTTTCTTCTGACGAGTCTCACAGCTTCACTCACGTTCCTGGAGACGCTGAAGAAGAACTTTCCCCTGTTTAGGTTCTGTGAGTCAGAATCGACTACGGAGGAACTGGAGACCAAAACCAGCTGAAGACACTTTGTGACTAGATTCACCTTTTGATGCATCACCTGACCCACGCGACTCAGACACACCCCGGACAGAAACGTGTTGTACACACAGATTCTGAGAGACTCCAGCTGAAAAGTTTTCCTACAGATTTTTGACAAACGGGTCTAAACCTGCCGAGCTTCTGATATTAGGAGAAAAAAAGAAACCGTTACTGACTGGATGAAGCCTCCTGGGGTCCGTTCTGATGTTTTACGCTTCAAATTAAACTAACCTTAGAGACATTGTTGCAGTAATAACAGTTATGCTTGTAAATTATGAATTCAAATGAAGACCATGTGAAATGTGTTTAACCTTAAAATTCCCATTTTTGATGGTTAGAATGATTCTATTTTGTTATTTTATCAAATCTAAAACTTCTGACTTAGAGGAATGTCACCAGGAAAAATCCAAGATGTGGGAATAGCAGGTTTGCCTCAAGGTTCCTCCAGAGGCTGTTTTCACACGCGTTCCTGGTGATTCCAAGCAACCTGCTGATGCTGCAGATGAAGGTGTCGGCTCAGGATCTGCTGCACCAGATTTAAAACAAACGTGTTGAGGATGTGAGGCGATAGTGAAGGTTCCTGCAGCAGCTCTTCCTGGTGTGCGAACAATGACGGCCTTGACCAGATTCTAAAACCCAAAACTTTTTAAATAAAAGGAGCACAGACCCAAATTTCCCAGAGTCTGTGACCTCTGACCTTCCAGGTCATGAAGCTGTGACTCACCCACAGCTGGTCTCCAGCAGATTCTCCCCGACCTGCAGAGACGCCATGCCGAAGTCCGCTATCCTGATGTTGTTCTTCTCGTCTAACAGCAAGTTCTCAGGCTTCAGGTCTCTGTGGCTGCAGGACAGCAGGAAGACAGGTTAGTGGTTGCTACGGTAACAAAAGACCACACAGCTCCTCTGGCTCCTTTAATGTTTAATGTAAAGTTTTAAAATTTGAATTCATTAAATTATCCCGTTGGATCAGAACACACTAGGGAATTCATAAAAGACTACCAGAACTTTGTAGAACCCCATCATCCATCCATCCATCATTTATCATTCATCTGTCCACCATCCATCCATCCATCCATCCACCATCTATCATCCATCCATTATCTATCATCCATCCATCTATCATTCATCCACCCATCCGTACATCCATCCATCTATCATCAATCCATCCATCATTTATCATTCATCTGTCCACCATCCATCCATCCATCCATCCACCATCTATCATCCATCCATCATCTATCATCCATCCATCCATCTTCCATCTATCATTCATCCATCCATCCATCTATCATCCATCCATCATCTATCATTCATCCGTCCATCCATCATCTATCATCCATCTATCATTCATCCATCCATCCATCCATCCATCCATCATCTATCATCCAGCTATCATTTATCATTCATCCATCCATCCGTACATCCATCCATCTATCATCAATCCATCCATCCATCCATCCATCCATCCATCATTTATCATTCATCTGTCCACCATCCATCCATCCATCCATCCATCCATCCATCCACCATCTATCATCCATCCATCATCTATCATCCATCCATCCATCTTCCATCTATCATTCATCCATCCATCCATCTATCATCCATCCATCATCTATCATCCATCCATCATCTATCATTCATCCGTCCATCCATCATCTATCATCCATCTATCATTTATCATTCATCCATCCATCATCCATCTATCATTCATCCATCCATCCATCATCTATCATCCATCTATCATTTATCATTCATCCATCCATCCATCCATCTATCATCTATCATCCATCCATCATCTATCATCCATCCATCCATCATCCATTAGCCATCCATCCATCCATCATCCATCCATCCATCCATCCATCCATTAGCCGACCATCCATCCATCCATCCATCCATCCATCCATCCACCTATCATCCATTAGCCATCCATCCATCCATCCATCCATCCATCCATCCATCCATCCATCCATTAGCCGACCATCCATCCATCCATCCATCCATCCACCTATCATCCATTAGCCATCCATCCATCCATCCATCCATCTATGTATCATCCATCCATTAGCCATCCATCCATCCATCCATCCATCCACCCATCCATTCATCCATTAGCCATCCATCCATCCACCCATCCATCTATAACCCATCCATCCATCCATTAGCCATCCATCCATCCATCCATCCATCCATCATCCATTAGCCATCCATCCATCCTCCATTAGCCATCCATCCATCCATCATCCATTAGCCATCCATCCATCCATCATCCATCCATCCATCCATCATCCATTAGCTATCCATCCACCATCCATCATCCATTAGCCATCCATCCATCCAACATCCATCCACCCATCCATCTATAATCCATCCATCCATCCATCCTCTATCATTCATCTATCTACTATCCATCCATCCATCATCTATTATCCATCCATCCATCATCCATTAGCCATCCATCCATTATCCATCCATCCATCCATCCATCACCCACCCACCCACCCTCCCATCCATCCATCCATCCATCCATTAGCCATCCATCCATCCATTAGCCATCCATCCATCTAACATCCATCCATCCATCCATCCATCATCTATCATTCATCCATCCACTATTCATCCATCTATCATCTATCAGCCATCCATCCATCCATCCATCCATCATTGGTTCTTCTGTGATCGTAGCTTCAGCTAAAATAAACATCAGCTTCCTGAAACGTTCTGGGACCTGACATCTTCTGTTATCGTAGTCAAAAACATTCAAACCTGAAACATGGATGTTTCTGGGAATCTGTTTTACTTCTGGAACTAAACCAGATTCCCATCTAACACAAAATGAGTTCACATTGGTTTGTTCATGCGTTGTTGCTTTTATACATCTGAGAAATTAATTTACTTTAAAATACTTTTAGGAAATAAACCAGATGTGAGGAGCTCCGCTCTGGTTGATCCTCCACTAGAAAACCCACAGAGTGAACTAAATCAGGTGCTTCAAAACCAACCACTCGACGCTAACGCTGAGAGTCAGACTCAGAGCATCTCTGATGTGCAGCAGCTGAGCTGCAGCCATGAGCGGACAAATGAAAGGTTTCAGAGATGAAAGGAGATCAAGAAAGGCTGCAGCCTCTAGAGTCGCCCCCGGCAACAGCTGATGAGGAGAGCGGATGAAGAGTGATCCAGCTGTTTAATCAGCCAAACGCTGAAAACTCTCCAAGAATCGTTGCAACAGCAGAAAATTCAGGAATCTGGTCAGTTTCTGCTCTACAGCAAATGTTTGCCGAGACAAACGCTAATTATCGTCAGAAAAATACCTTTAGAGCATCGTCAACTTTATTAAAAAGTTTAACTCAGCTGTGAAAGGTTGACGAGGGGAAATGATGTGCGTCAGAGGCAGGAAACAAGGCGGAGTTCAGAAAAGGAGACTTCTGGTGTGACGCTTAAGATCACGCGGCTTAAAAGGACGGCGAAAAATCCATAATGAAAAATAATCAAACCGGATCTTTTCTCCTCTCGGTCGTCTTTAAGTTTGAATATTTGAGCTGAAACACTCGGAACATTTCAGGTTTTAGTGAACATTCGTGGTATTTAATCTGCGGTGCCACGGTGTTCTGACCCGACCCGTCTGGTTTAACAGATGGTCTGCTGAGGAAACCTGCTGACTCGGAGGATTTTCCTGCAGCGGTCAGTCGGCACAGATAAATCAGATGCACGGCGCCGCACGGGCCCGCTCAGAAGCTTTTATTACACACCAGCAGAACCCCCCCCCCCCCCCCCACACACACACACACACACACACACACACACACACACCTGCAGGTAAAAACAGAATACAGACCAGATGGAGTGGCTGTGACAGAAGTCCAGCGCTGAGATGATCTGTCTGAAGAACTTTCTGGCCTCTTTGGGTGTCAGGCGTCCTTTTTTCACCAGATAGTCGAAGAGCTCGCCTCCAGACACGTGTTCCAGCACCAGGTACCTGCACAGGTGAACACAGACACCAGCTCAGGGACAGGACCCAGACAGAACCCAGACAGGACCCAGGCCGGGCCCAGACAGAACCCAGACAGGACCCAGACAGAACCCAGACAGGACCCAGGCCGGGCCCAGACAGAACCCAGACAGGACCCAGACAGAACCCAGACAGGACCCAGGCCGGGCCCAGACAGGACCCAGACAGAACTCAGACAGAACCCAGACAGGACCCAGACAGGACCCAGGCCGGGCCCAGACAGAACCCAGACAGGACCCAGGCCGGGCCCAGACAGGACCCAGACAGGACCCAGACAGAACCCAGACAGAACCCAGACAGGACCCAGGCCGGGCCCAGACAGAACCCAGACAGGACCCAGGCCGGGCCCAGACAGGACCCAGACAGGACCCAGGCCGGGCCCAGACAGAACCCAGACAGGACCCAGGCCGGGCCCAGACAGGACCCAGTCTTCCTAGTGTCTGATTGGCTACACTCCTGTCACACCGAGTTTCATATTTGAGTTTTAGTGATCCAAAGCTGAACAACGGAAAGCAGCTTAAAACAGACAAGAGAGACCTGCTGTAATAATAATAATAATAATAATAATAATAATAATAATAATAATAATAAATATTTATTATTAAGTCATAATAAATGAATCTCTGTGGGATTCTAACTGCTTTAGCTCCATTTAAAGAATATTTAATGACTAGATCGGTGAACTCAGAGCGACGCGGCTGTTTGTGGAGGTTTTGGTGTTTTTTCCGCCTCAGCGCCGTCGCCGCCTGATTTATTATCAGATTAAAGGACCTGCTCAAGCGTTTACCTGTCAGAGCCGTTTAAATTACAACACGCTCGGCTGTGATTCGTGAGCGCCACAATTTCTGTTAGCATCCACGACGTGCGTCCGTCGCCGTCCTCGCTACATTAAGAAAACAAATTCCTGCTCCGTCTGACGGCGTCGCCTTTATCAATTATGGAGGAGCTCATTAGGCGGCGGCGGCGGCGGTGCGCAGCAGCAACATGCTGGAGATGAATGTAAAAGATAACAGCTGAGAACACACCAGAGCCCCAGCAGCAGGAGGAAGAAGAGGCAAAATAAACATCTTAACATTTAATAAAAGAATACTTCTGACCTGATTCTGTCCAACGGTCTTCATCAAATCTCACATTCACACCAACTTTTACTTCCAAGTCAGTAAATCAGAGATTTGGTGGGAGCTATATCAGTCGATGCATTAAAAAAAGGTAAAAATCAACCTGATAATTACCATTTATTATATAAACCAGCAGGCGATGTGCCTCCGTAGTAAAGCCGGTTTAAAGTCAGGCACGTCCACGTTTACTTACGTTCCTGAATAACATCTGCATGATAAAAAAAAAACTTTATTTTTATTTGCTAGTTTAGAATATTTAATATTTGGTCAGTTAATTTTATTTGTTTTATTAACTTTAGTTAGATGTCTGATTAACACTGAGCACAAAATTAAGACTTTACTTAAGTTCAAAAACTGATTCAGCTTCAGAGATTTTCTGCAACAACGAGCGTTATTAGTGATGTTCCAGCATGCAAATAAGGAGAACATCGTAGATATCCGCCATGAAAACTGGCCCAAAAAATCTACTGGCAGTAGTGATGGAAAAACCCATATCGGTCCACTAACGGTGAAACCCACAGGGTCGTTCGGGACGTTCGGACCACATTCCAGATGATCTGGATTCAGGTGGAACTAATCAGTATCATGAAGGTAAAGCCTCAACTTTCCTCTTCTGTTTGCGTCTTTTGGAGAAAAAGGTTAAGTGAGCCATCTCACAGCAGTAGCTCAACAGGTCGAGCGGGTTGTCCAGTAATTGGAAGGTTGCAGGTTTGATCCCCGCTCCGACCATAGAATTCTGCTTTTGTGTCCTTGGGCAAGCCACCCACCTTGCCTGCCAGTGGTGGTCGGAGGGACCGGTGAGGCCTGTGCTCGGCAGCCTCGCCTCACAGGTCAGCTGTGGCTACAGCGTAG